CTCTCTCTCATTCTCTCTCTCTCAAATAAATAAATAAAATCTTTAAAAAAAAAATTAAAAAAATAAACCAATACGAACGTGACGGGCACACACTGGAAGCTTAATAAATGTTGGCTATGACTATTATTTGGTGTCAAGCAAAAAACACCAATTGTAGAATGTATCATGTTCAGCATGATCCCAAGATAAATTTTAAAAAATACATTATGAATAGCATATGAATGGAAAATATTTTAACAAAGACATTAACCTATTTTCATGATTTAAAAACATTTAAGATGACAGTCACATCCCCTTTTCAAGAGGTATTGTCCTACCTTATTTGGGTCCAGTTTCTGGCATCATTTTCCTTCTGGGGATGAGGGGCCTCTGCCCTTCTGACTAAATCCTTGCGGGCTGGCCCGGCCCAGCGGGCGCCACACAGGTTAGTATGTGCAAACTCTCCCCCTCGAAAGGGTCCTTCTGAGGTGATGCCCAACATGACAGAGGGCCTCTCTGTCCCTCCTCTGCCAGGGACCCTGGCCCCACGCTGAAAAGGATAGGCAGAAGGCCCAGGATCCCTGCCCCAGTGCCCAGCTCCCCACAGCCCCCAGCCATGCTGCCTGTCCTTCTATCACAGCCCTGACTTCTGTCCCTGCTCAGGCCTCAGCCGCCCAGCTCTCCTGGGAGAGGCCGTGGTGAGGGGCAGAGCTCTGGGTGGGAAATCAGATCCCTGACTCAGCGTCCAAAAAGGTGAACCTGAGCCAGACGTGAACCCCTTGGGTCTTCCATTCCCTGTTGGGTGGGGGCAGAAACACAGTGATTGCCAAGGTTGGGAGAGCACAAGATCATATGTTTAGGAAGGCAGTCTACCGACGCGGCCAGCCCCAGGCAGCCCCATGAGCCCAAACAGAGCTAAGTGTCCTCCACCCCAGATCACACTCATCCTCATTCTCCCCACCGGCCACCAGCCTCAGGAAGATTAGCACTACCACTTTACAGCTAAGGAAACAGAGGCACAGAGAGATCAGTAGACTTGCCCAACGCCACACAGCTGGTAAGTGGCCAAGCTGAGTCACACTCAGGTCTGCTGACCTCCAGATGTCCCTCATCTCTCCCCATGGTATTCACATGTGCTCAAGGTTGGCTTCTGCGGGCCAGTCCTGCAGACCCTTTCCCAGTGGGCAGCACTTCTGGTTTGTGTTCTGAACCTTCTGGAAATGACCAGGGAAGCCTTCCCCATTCCCAATTTTTCTTCTTCCCCCAGACCCAATCATTTCCTCCCACATGGATATATTTGCACATCCCTGCTGATTCCACATTGATAAGGGAGGCAAAGACAAGCAGGGGGAGCTGAGAGCCTAGGGTCACTATGGTGCTGGGACCACCAGCCTTTCAGAATCTTCTGCGCAGCTGGTGAAAACAGATTTCTAGGCTCCTCTCAACCCTCTGCGGGACCTGGAATCTGCGTGTCACAAGCTGCCTTGAGGATTCACTGGGGTTGGAGCCCCCCAGGCGGAGAGGGAGGCTCCAGGGCTCCTTCCTTGCTAGAAGGAGAGCATGGGGGTCCCACCAGAGGTCCCACCGAGCCACCACGTCATCCTGACTTACCTGCTCAGATGCTGACCACCAGGCAGGAATCACCTTCTCCCCGCCCCTGGCTGCTGGTCTCTCAGACACAAGGGGGGATTAGCTGGCAGCAGCGGGCCGTGTGCAAGGGATTAGAAGGTGCCCAACAGGGGTGGGGAGGTGACGATGGAAGACAGGAGCTCCATGGCCAGGCAGCCAGGGGCAACCTGGGCCGTCCAGGGGCCAGCAGGGATCGAGGTCCCAGGGAAGGAGCCCCACTTGGCCCTGGTTGGAGCAGCATGAGTTGCCATGGGACCCAGGGTACCACACACCTTGGCCAAGCCACAGAGTGGCCGGTGGGAGAATAACAGCTTCATGTCCCTGTGTGAGGGGAGTGAGGTGCTGGCGGGGGAGTGATCACATGGGGCCCTGCATGAGTGAGACTTGGCTTATGCCCCCCTCCCTGGGCTGAGCAGCCTGGAGGTAGCAGAGCCCCTGGGGAGTGGGCAAAGTCAGATGTGCCTGGGGGAAGAGGAAGGGGTTCTAGGGCAAGGAAAATGAACAAACTTTGGCCATACACCAGTTGGGATGACCCTCATGTGCTTATATATGGAGAGAAAGAAGCCAGACTCAAAAGACCCTGATGAGCCATATAGACAAAGCTCACAAGGGGCAAAACTAGCCTGTCTTGTCTCTGGCTGCAAACGTACGTATTAAAACGACCAGGCAAATCAGTGGTGATGTTTTATAGCCAGAGAGCGGTTACCTCTGCAGGGGGTTGAGCTGGGGAAGGGGTATGTGAAAGCTTCTAGGGGCTGGCAGAGCCCTCCCTGTTTCTTGCTTTCTTTAGCTGGCATCAATTTTTAAAGACACCTTACAAGGTATAATTTCTACGCCATAAAATTCACCCATTTTTAATAAAGTGACTGAGCTAGGCAATTTGCACCACCCAGTTTTAGACCATTGCCATCGCCCCGATGAGACCCTTCGTGCTTGGTGGGAATCACTCCCATCCTCAGCCATAGCTCCGGACAACCACCGGTATGCTCTCCGGCCCCCCAAAGGGGCCTTTTCTGGACATTTTCTATAATGGATCATACAACATGTGGAGTGTTTTTGTGTCTGATTTCTTTCATTTAGCATAATGTTTTTGAGGATCACCCACATGGAGCCATGTATCAGGACTTCGTTTCCTTTAAATTCCTGAGTATTCCATGGGGGAGGATATACCACAATCTATGAATCTACTCACTAGTCAGTGGACACTTGGGTTGTTCCCACCTATCGGCTATTTGAAATCATGCTGCTGTGAAGATTTGTGCGCCAGCTTTTGTGTGGACATATATATTTTCAGTATGCTTGGGAAGATTCCTAGGGATAAAATTGCTGCGTTCTGTGATAATTTTATGTGCTGTGTTTTAAGAAACTGCTAATCTGTTTTGCAAAGTAGTACCTCTTGTCTTGGCCTGAATAAGAGAACGTGGGCTCTCGCCTTAGAAATTATTAGTTACATTGTATATTTATGCACTTGCTGTATTTTGTTGTATTTTATAACTTTAAAAGACTTAAAAACAAATCGGGGGTGGGGTGGTGCGTAGAGGCAACTCTGGGAGAGTTTTCTCTAAGGGGTGGGGCTCAGGGGTGCTGTCTGGGGGGGCTGTCTGGAGCCCTGGAGGTGGAACAGCGAGGGAGCCAGATCCTGCATTCGCCTCCCAGGAGGTCTCCCAGGACCCAGCAGTCTCAGCACCTGGGCAGGTGACTGCGAAGCATATGCCGGTACAGACATAGAAGTTAGACTCTCCCCAGGTCGCCTCACCTGTGGGGCCCAATGCCAGTGGTTGTGACCAGGGTGGTGGGCAGGCCCCAGGGCTTTCGGGTGCTGGGCTTAGGCACTCATGACCTCTCTTTCCTGGGAGGGAGGGAGGGAGGCTGCAGGCCTGCAGGGGGCCAGGGCTAGAATATCACCTGCTAATCCCTAGCCTGCTGAGGCCACCACTCTCCCTGATCCCTTTATGCTGGCCCTGGATACTAGCCAACTGCTGATCGCCACCCTTGGAGACCCAAGGTCTGGGAGGCAGGGTAGTGCCCTCTTCTCTTAAGTCTGCAGGACGGCTCACGGTCTCCCTACATGGCAGGGCCTAGGGTCTTGCCTAACATAGAGCCTTGAGGCCCAGAGAGAGACAGCGACTAGCCCAGGATCACACAGCATGCCCTGGCTTGCCGTGGCATGGCCACCTCCAGGGTGGCTTATGCTAACGCCCAGGAGACAGCAACCTTCAGGAAAGCCAAAAGTGGGAGCCAGTGCGCAACACCCCAGGTAGCTGGCTCCTCTCCTCAGAACCGACAGTTGCCAGGGTTGCCGAGGAGTGGGCGCCCTCACAATCAGGCGGCAATGGGCGTTGTCTCTTTGCAGAATGTTCCTTTATTCTCCTACTGTATAAGGCACTGGGGTCAGTCCATCTCCCTGCCTCTTCTCCCCACTGAGCCGTCAGAAGAGCAGGAAACCCTCACAGGCCTGTGTACCTGCAGACCAGGTAGCTGCTGTCGGGGGGGGGGGGCGGGGAAGGGTAAGGAGCAAGGAGTCCTTTCTCCCCTCTTCCCCCTGCCCCACGTCCCCGTCCTCCCTGGGAAGGCCCACAGCCTGAGACAGCTTCCCTAGGGCCAGTCCCCTTAGCCTCTCCCTGCTCCTCCAGGGTCCAAGGTCCTCGCTCCTCCTGCGCACCTCCCACTCACCTCCCACTCACCTCCGCCTCGCACGTCTAACGGGGTCACACGGAAAGCAAGCAGACTCAACAAATTCTCCCTAAAGTTTCAATGACCGACAAGCCATGGGAATAGCCACTCTTTAAAGGGAGGCACCGAGCAACCAGCAATGCTGTTCTAGTTCATATCTCTCATGCCTCGCCCCTTCTTTAAAACTTGCCTGTGTCTCCCTGTAGAATTTTGAGTAAATGCCAGATACTTTAGCTAAGGCCAGAAGTCCATAATTAGCTACCCAGAGGCAAACGGAGCTCATTCCTGAACCCATCTGCGGCGGCTGCTTCCCAATCCCGGTTTAAGAACAGACTCCCATGCGGCCGCTTTTAGACCATTCTGAGCCACACACACCCTCTCCTGACCTGTCAGAGCCCTGAGCACGCGCGCGGGGGTGAGTCTGAATGTCCCTGACTCCGCAGGAGATGCCCCCAGCTCTGGGTAGCAGTGTTGGATGAATAGAGAAATCGGCCCCGGCCAAGGTTGTGTCACCCCATAAAAGGGTGTTGGGTCGGGGTGTCTCTGCTCCCCCAGCCATGACCCACATCATTGACCTGGTGCCCCGGGACGACTGCTCCACGCACGCATTCGCGTCCCCCGCCATCCTGCTGCCACTGGGGCCGCCACGCAACCAGCTGGCGGGCGTGAAGCAGCAGCTCTACCACCCGGCCCTGCCCAGCCTGCGCCGCATGGACATGGACTCGGTCAGGGCCTGCCTTTCCGACGAGCACTGCCGGTCCACCACCTACTGCCGCAGAGGTCCGGCCACCGGGCTGCCGCGGGCCACCGGGCCCCTCGGGCCCTGCGGGGCGGGGGTGGGGGGGAGAAAAGCCAGGAGGGGGGCAGGGTTGGGGGTTTCCTGATAAGGAAGCCTCCGCTTATCAGGAAAATGGGGTAACAGGGCCTGCCTCCTATTATGCTGAGATTAAAACGAGCTGGGAGAATAGGGGAAGGGAGGGAAAAATAAAACAAGGCGAAATCAGAGAGCGAGACAAACCATAGGAGACTCTTAATCACAGGAAACAAACTGAGGGTTGCTGGAGGGGAGGGAGGTGGGGGGTGGGGGACCTGGGTGAGGGGCACTGAGGAGGGCACCTGATGTGATGAGCACTGGGTGTTACATACAACCCACGAATCACTGAACTCCACCTCTGAGACTAATAATACACTCTATGTTAATTAATTGGATTTAAATAAATAAATAAATAACAAGCTAAGAGAAGCACTTAAAGTTGTGCCTAGCACAGAGCACGTGCCCAACAATAACATAACGGTGGTTACTAACAGAGAGAGAAGTGTGCAGAAGTCACGTAGTAGGAGTGATCATAAAGCGACAGTGACAGCTTCTGCCCAATCTGCTCTCCACGTGGAAAAGGAAGAGGAAGACCCTCCTCACACTCCCCATGAATGAGAGGTGGACAGGAGAGTCTTTGGGGTGAAAAGGCCACATGCACCCAAGGAATAGCTCTTCATCGATTGAGAAGCTTGGGTGTGGAGATGGGGGTGCCTGTGAATGAATGAATGAATGAATGAATGAATACACGTTCATTTCAGCACATGTATTAAGCACTTGCTTTGTGCCTGATGCTGCCCCAGAGGGAGGGAAACAGAGAAGATAGCATGTGCAGGGCCCTGGAGGGGAAAAACTGCCCCAGGTGTTGGGGGAACTTGAGGGGTTTGGTTGGGCTGAAGGACAAGGTTGGGGCAGCAGCAGGAGCTGGGGCTGGGGACCAGGGCACTGTTACTAAGCTCAGGGAGCTTTGGAGGCAAAGGGGACCCTCTGAAGACTTGAAGCAGAAAAGAGGTCTGAGCATTCTGGGGGTGGGAAGGGGGTGGAGGATGGCTCAGAGGGACCAGAGGTGGATGGGGGCTGGGGGGGGGTATGACACTGGGAGGGACCACAGTCTTCAGGAAGGAGTAACAGTGTTTCAGCCACTGGAGAGGGTTTGGGAAGGTATTTAGGAGATGAAGTAACAGGATTTGGTACCAGTGTGGTGAGGGGCAAGAGTGGGAAGTCTGGAATGATACCCAGTTTCCAGCTCAGGTGACAAGTGGGACGAAGGTGTCAGAGACTGCATGGAAATTTCCAGAGGCCCCATGCAGAGCCCTGTAGGGCCTAGATGGGAAATGCCGGAGGTGGGTGGGGAAGCAGTGAGGAGGGAGGCCCCCACACCTGGCCCTCTAAGGGGCAGCCGCCATGGGGCTCCGGCTAACTGCTGCGTGGGCAGGCTCAGCATGTTTCTCCCAATTTCCTGGGTTCTCTTGGAAGCCAGGAATCTAGGTTTTTAGGGACAGCTCTTGATTTAGATATGTATTTTTATTGCAAGCTTATGCCTTTAATAAAAGTAATAGAGTCACAGGTTCAAAATTCAAATGCTGTAACAATGTAGATCTTAACATCTCCCTCTGCCATCCCCCACTTCTACTGACTTACAGGTAACCTGCCAGTTTCCAATGTATCCTTCCACTGTTTACTAATGCAAATATAAACATAAATTCTTTTGCTCCCCAACTTTTTGTTATGAAGATATTCAAACATAGAGAAAAGTTGAAAGGATAATACTATGGACACCCAGTGCCTTCTACCTGCTTCAGTTAATCCATTACCATATTTGATTATTCTCTCTCTAACACACACACAGACACTCACACTCTCTCACACACACTTCAGCAAACAGTTCCCAGTGACAACAACCTCCTATATGACACAATACTATATGATCACATCTAGGAAAGTTAACAATAATTCCATAACACCTACTCTTCAGTCTATATTGAAATGTCCCAAATGACCCCTAAAGATGTCTCAGAGTTTTAAAATCCTTCCAGAACCAGGCTGCAATCTAGGACTGCACATTGTAACTGGTTGCTATGTATCTTGTTTTAGTCTGAAATAGTCCACCCACTTTCCATTTTCCAATTGGAAAATTTCCAATTTTAATATCGGCTTTTTAGAGTTCAAAATACTTATGTTGTAGATAGTCCTACATTGTGAATCTGGGTATTTCCTTAAAATGTTTACCTTGATTGTTTTCTGTAAACTAGAAACCAGGTGTAGAGGCTTGGTTAGCCAGATAAAACATTGGTGGCCAGAATCTTGCACAGGGGATGGATGCCATGTTTGCCCTAATGCTTCAGTGGGAGACACGTAATGTCATTATCCTGCTGTTCGTGATGTGAGGTTTGATGACTTGGTTAAGGTGGTGACCTGAATGTATCTTCTTCTCTGCCTCCAATTGCCTCAGTTTTAGGTGTTAAAGCAAAAGGGAGCATACAGCATATACTCTTGGACACCTTGGAGGTTTCGTATGGAGAACTGCGTCTATTTATTTTAAGTAGCTGCCTAGTGAGGACATATCACAGTGTATTTAACCAGTCCTTTAATGACAGACACTTGAGCTGCTCCATCATTCTCTGCTCCCAGCAATGCTGAAATGGGCAGATCTTTTACCCACATCATTTCCCAGTTGTACACCTGTAATGTGGGATAAATTCCCAGAAGTAGGACCAGAGGTTCCGAAGGTATGTGTATTTATACTTCTGATAGTTAATGCCAATTGCTTTCCATAGGCTGGAACCAATTAATACCAGCCATATTACAGCAGTGGCCCTGTTTCCAATAACTGCACTAACTTTTGGATTGTTTCCAATCTGATAGGCAAATATTGGCATCTTAATGTAGTTTGAAGATGCATTCATCTTATTGTGAATGAGGCTGAGTGTCTTTTCATATGTTTTAGGGACCACCAGCATTCCTTGTGTTTGTGTGTGAATTACCTATGCATACGGCTGGCTCATTCTTCTTGTCTTGATTTCTAGGAACTCTTCAGGGAAATTGCACCTCATCTGTAAAATAAGTGGAAATATTTTTTTCCCATTTGCCCTTTGACTCCTGTCAGTTTTGCCAAGCAGAAGTTTGCTTTTTGTAGTCAAAGTCATCAGTCTTCCCTTTATAGCTATCAGATTGTGAATGAATTGATATGGCCTTCCCCACCCTAAGGTTATAAGGGAATTTACATGTTTTCCTCTAGGGTTTTTATGGTTTTGTGTTTTTTACATTGAAATCTTTGATCTACTTGGAGTTTATCCTGTTGTAAAAGTAAAAATCTATTCTATCTTGGGTTTTTTTTAAGTTGTCAAATATTTCCAGGAACTTTTGGAGAAAGGGCTCCTGAGGGGGCCTATGATGGCTGGTGGAGGAGACACCTCTTCTCCCTCTCTTCTTCAGATGACTTTGACAACGCCCACTTCACACTTTTGGGTGTCCCCAACAAACCCCTGCAGTGCTTGGTGAGTGTCCTTTGCTCCTGGCCCCGGGTTTGCTCAGGGGAGAGGGTGTGAAGGTCCTGCCTGCTCCCAGCCCCAAGTACCTCGGGTTCTTCAGCTGCCTGCTTGGGCCCCTGCCCCCTTCCTATCTCATTTAGGGGGCTTCAGGCTCTCCGCCAAGCGCCTGGGTCGGGAGGGCCAAGTTGTCAGGCCCAGGCTACGGGCTGGTCTGGGTCGGCCCCCCAGGCTTCTGCACCTACCACTACGCCCTGACTCACATCACCCTGGCAGGACGTCACGGCGACGGGCCAGAGACTCCGCAACAGGTGCCGCGAGGGAAAGCTGGTACCCATCGTGCCGGGCATCAACCGGGTCGACTGGCCCTGCTTCACACGCGCCATTGAGGACTGGTCCCGCTTCGTGTCTTCCCCCGGCGAGTTCAAGCTGCCCTGCCCGAGCAAGAGGGGTCAGTCTACTGGGCCCGGAGGATGCCCTAGGGCGGGAGAGACCCGGAGCGCCACCTGCGGGCGAGGGGCATCGGGGGGGGCTGCAACAAGGACGGCGGGGAAACCGAGGAGCAGCTGGGGCACTTAGAGCGGGCAGGACCGAGACAGGCTGAGGGACAAAGACGTGGGGCTCGTCTTGGGGAGGGGGCAGGGGCCAGGTCCCGGCCGGAGGGAGCCATTGGGCGGAGGCTGAGCGCGGGGCGGGTTCTGGGACGGGCGGAGCAGGGTCTAGAAGCGGGGCTTGTCCTGGCCGGGCCGAGGGACGGGCTCACCCAACGGGTGTGGGCGTGGTTCGGTCCAGGGGCGGGGCTCAGGTAAGGGAGGGGGCGGGGCTTGTTCGGGGCGGGCTGGGGGCTGGAGAAGGGCGGTCTCTCCGCAGTCGAGAGTTTCAGTGGCTACGCGGTGCGGTACTTGAAGCCGGAGGTGACCCAGAATTGGCGAGTAAGGAGGGCTGCGCGCTGACCTGTCCCTGGGGACCAGAGGGTCGGGGAGGAGAAGCTAACACGGGGGCGGGGTGGGGAGAGGTCACCCAGAGCAGGGTTTCCCGGTCCCCAGGGCCAAGATCTCTGGCAGAGAGCGCTGTGGCGGGCCGGGGGGGGGGGGGTGTTAGTGTCCCCCCCCTCGGCTCACGGATTCCCCATTCCTCTGGCCCGCGCCAGTACTGTCTCAACCAGAACCCCAGCCTGGACCGCTACGGACAGAAGCCCCTGCCTTTCGACTCCTTGTAAGTGACGCCACAGGCCCCAGGACCCCATACCTGGAGGAGGGAGGATGGGGTCTTGGCCGCTTTCCTCCGAGCACCTTTAGTGACTCTTGAAAGTGTGAGACCCGGGAAAACTGCTGGGTTCCAATACACCACAAGGAAATTGCAGTTCCAAACTGAACAGATGTTTAATCAAACGGAGCATCCTGTCCTCCAGTCCCTGGCAACCCCACCTTTCGGAGTGAAGGCATTAGGTGGAACCAGGGTGGAATGTAATCCTTCTGGTGGGATAGCGCCTCCCGAGATGGGAGTGAGGTTCCCCGAGAGGGTCACCCTTCCCCACCTCGGGCTCACCTTCCTCCTCCCTTTTTGGCAGGAACGCCTTCCGACACTTCGGCTCAATCTACAGGTAGGCGAATGACCCCCTCCCGCTCCACAACCGGCCACTCCTCCATGGGGCTGTGTCCTGGCCGCCTCTGGGCTCAGGCGACTCTCAGACCCCTCTCCACCCCGCCTCGAGCCAAGGTTTTGGTACCCTCCGGGTGATATCGGGGCCGATTTGCTTCCCTCCGGAGAGATCCGCGCCAGGAGAAAGCACAGCCTACTGGGAGATGGGGGGAGCAGAGTGCATGTCCCACCCGATTTGGCTCAGACTAGGCCAAAAGGAGGGGGGCTTACCAGGGAGGAGAGCAAGGGCTGATGGAAAGAACCAAGAGTGTGCCTTCCAGGATCCGGAGAGGTGGGAAGGGCTGAGGCTCCTGTTTCCAGCAGGAAGGTGTAAGGTATTCAAGCATCTTCATCTTTCAGCCCTCTCCCAACTACCAGGCCCCCTTTCCTCCACCGCAGCAGTACCACACTCCTGGGTGTCCCCCAAAGCACCAGCACAACCAAGCACGCCACACTTTTGCTGGTGCTGTTTCAGGGCCTAGGTGATCCTTCCTTCTCTGCCTGGAAAATTCCTCCTCACTCTTGAAAGCCCAGCCTAGATGTCCTATCCTCCTTGGTCTTCCCTGAGGCTCCCTTGAAGCCTCTCCCCTCCAGCTCAAACCCCCTCGGGTTGGTCACCACAGATGCATCCCTATCTGATAGCACATAGACTATTGCGTTATAATTACTGATGGAAAGTTTGCCTTCTCTCACCCACCCTGTCCACACACAGGGGAACGCTTTCTGATATTTTTACTATTATATACTATTATATAATGCCTGCCAGGGTAAGTGCACTAAATGTTTGAAAAATGAGTAAAGCACGGCAGGACTGGGGATCAATGAGAAACAAAGATGAGGCAAACTGGAAGGGGGTGATTGAAAGTCAAGCAGAGTCTCTGAAAATATATAATTGAAAGGAAATAGGGAGCCACTGAAGGCTCTTGAGCCATAGAGAGATAGGATGGAAGCTGTGTTTTCAGAGCTTTGAGGACAGGAAGTTGGGTTTGGGGGGCAGGCCTACAGAAGGACAGCTTGATTTTCCCCAGGACACCCTGGAAGCCCCTGCCTCAACCCTATTTCTCTCCACAGTCGTGTCAACTATCTGACCCCCTGGCATTAATCTGTGAAAAGGAAGCCGACCCTCAGGCTGCTGGACTCTGGCACCTCAGGTTCTCCAGCAGGACAGGGGGTGTGTGGTGGCACCACTCATTTCCCTACGAGGTCAGCCTGACTGGAAATAAATCTAGTAATAATAAACCAGGTCTGTGTGTGTGTGTGTGTGTGTGTGTGTTGCAGGGATTGGGAGAGAGGTCAGTACCTCAGGACGCTGTCTTACCTTTACCTGCCCCCTGCCAACTCCTGGAGGACTGGTGGGGGGCTGGAGAAAGATGTTTCGTGACCCCAGGTAAAGAGTCAGGGTCTAAACCCCAAGGCTCAGCCAGGGGTGAGGTGTAGAGTTAGCCTGGGAACTGGGTTTTCCCTGTGCCCCTGTCCCCTGCTTGCAGCCCCACAACCGGGCCCCCTCCACCTCAGACTTTGAACTTGGGCCCTAAAAAGAAAAGAGGAGGTTCAAAAGGAATTTTAGATACCTCTCTCAGAAGATTTTACCATACCAGTATACTCTGGGGGCTTCCCTGGGTCTGGCAGGCTCTGGTGGGCTCAAGGCAGCCTCTGGGCGTGGAGCAAGAATCACCTACTCCCTCCACGTAGCTTCAGGACTAGCCCTCACATCTGTCCACCAAACTACAGAAAGGAAAGCATGATGTCCTGGGGATAGCCATGGGCTCTCGTGGGCCAGGTCCGGAATAACCGCACTCAAAGGGCTAAGGAAGAGTGTCTCTGGCATGGTTAGGGAGAGCCAGGATCAATGCACAGCTCCCTTCCAGATAGCCCACCCGCATCCCACTTGTGGGCAGTCTGCAAGGACAGATCCCAACCAGGATAAATAGCCACCAAGCTCTAAGACTATCTGAACAAGAGCCCTACGGCTAGGGTCTGGAGCCTCAGGGATCCTTGAAACTTCTGAAATCATGAGCAAAACTGTATGTGCTCCCACATATACATTTTCCCATGGAGAGACCCCTTGTTTTCATCTGATTCTCAGGAGAGTCAGTGCCCAGAAAGGTTAGGAAACCCTGACTACACCCTCCCCATCCCCTTCCACTAATAATTACTGAGCACCTACTGCACACAAGCTAGGTCTCAGGTGGAAGGAATTTAAAGAATAATACCAGGCTCTTATTTCTGGACTCTATGTTACACTATTCAGAACACACTGTCATGTGACTTATTATCTCCTCCATGCCTCAAATCCCATAAACACTCTGAAAAGTGACCAGAACGAATGCTATCCTATATCACAGATGGGAAAACTGAGGCCCAGATCAGGAAGTAGTTCACTTCGGCCACACCCAGAACTCAGGACTCAAAGCAAGTCCCAGCACTTGACACAGTGTTCACATACAGTTTGCGCTCAATGTCGTAGAATAAATTATTTCCCAGAATGGGAGGTCTTTTGTTCAATCTTGGGTAAAAAACAAGGAGACAGCTTTGTCATTGTCATCTGATAATGCAGACAGAGCCTGCCTTACAGACTCTAGGCTGACTTTAATTTCTTTTAGGGGTGGAGGTGATGGTTACTATCCTAATACGGAGGTGAGGGACCATGGTGTCTGTCTGTCCTCAAGGGTGGGGTTCTGCTGACAACAGAGCAGGAGCATGGGGAGGAGCAGACGGGGAGTGGTAAACAGATCACGGAGCCCCTTCTTCCTTGGGGGCCTATCGAGAAGGTACCCAGCTTCCTGCCATTTCATGCAGGAAGAAACCCTTTCCTCCAAGCCCAGCGGGCAGTCCACCTGGCTTGAACCTCAGGAAGCCCCTGGCAGAACCTCTTGGGGTGTCAGAGCCAATTCTGCAAACTTGAGTGCCTCCCCCAACATGACAGCTCAGAGAAGGGATAGATCTGCCCAAGGCTCCCATCACAGCAGGGATGCTGGAGTCCTGGCCTGTGTGGGCCTGGGACAGCCAGAGAGCATGCTTCAATGTACCAGAGGGAATCAAGTGCCTGGGGCTTTTTTCCTGGCCCTGCTAGGAGGGCAAGGCCCTCCGGGAATTTGGCCCAGGGGACATTTGAGGCTTACCCGGCCCCATGCTGGGTGCAGGAAGGACACAGACCAGAAGCCCTCCCTGCCTGGGAGGTGCTCCCAGTACAGGAGGAGGAAGGCAGGCCCAGCTGATTCAAACTTGAAAGCAGAAGGTGGGAATGTGGGCACACCTAGACCACGTTCCTCGAGCCCAAGACACTGAAAGGTATGGTAACCCACACCAGCAATGTAATTAGGTTCTTGCTCACCAATTGTACACTGAATCCTGATTCCATAGACCTAAAAATGTGTGTCCAAGAATAAAGGAAATGCAGAGTGGATGAACATTAACAAGCCTGATTCAGTATGTACCTTCTTTTTTTTTTATTAATTAATTTATTTTTAATTAATCTCTACGCCCAAAACGGGGCTGGAACTCAGGACCCCAAGATCAAGAGTCCCATGCTCTTCCGACTGAGACAGCCAGGCACCCTACCACTTTCTATTTTTTAAGCGTAAGATAATGTATTAACCACCTTGCAGACACCATGAGGTGGGTAATTTTAGGCCCATTTTATGGGTGATGAAATGGAGGTTAAGTGCCTGGCCCAAGGTCACACTGCTGGTGATTGGCAGAGCTGGGAATTGAAGCCAGCCTACCTGAACCTTGAGCTTGCGTAGCCACCACATTCCACTGCCTTCCTGCTATGAGAGAGATATAAGCCAAGAGTGGGGAGGAAACCAGAGGGGGCTTCCTGGGGGTGGGGACATCTGATAATCCCACCCAGAGGCCAAGAGATGGGAAGAAGCCTCACTCCCACCTAGCCTGGGCCACTGTCTCCTGGCCTCAAAGTCCCCTCAGCCTCAGGGGAAGACTCTTTACTCATCATAAATAGATCATTAGAAATCCTCCCTATGGCCACTACCTTGGGGACAGTCCAGCCTCCATGGCCTCACCCACAGGTCTTCCTGGTCAGTGCCCCAATCCACATCCCTGGCCCTGGGCCTCAATGCATTGCCCCACACAAACCTCCCCACCAGCCTCCTTGCTATTCTGAACACCCAGGCTCTTGTCTGCCTCCTCACCTTTGTTCAAAGCCTTCCTCCCACCTGAAATGCCTTTCCCATCACTTCCAACCCAAATCCCACCATTTCTCCCAGGCAGACCTCTCTCAAGGGCTCCCTCCCCCCGGCCCCCCAATCTTCCCCGATACTACAGAACAAACTCCTAGCCTCTGGCCCACAGTTGGCTCTAAGGAAATACTGCACTTGGAGGCTCCCTTTACCTCTCTGAGTGAACACAGGGGCTCAGGAATGGGGCCTGGGGCCGCGCAGAACCCACACACAGATCTAGACTAAATGAAACAACTACTACAAAGTAACAGTTGTGTTCATGACAAAGTAACACACCAAATACATCCTCACCCAGGGCCTGGGACTGGCAACAGGGATGGATCAGGGGTGAGGTGAGGGTCAGGGAGGACTCACATGTAATCTTTTGTGCTAAAAATCAGAAGCTTTGACATTTCTGACCTTACCTTTTGATACATGAAAACCTCAAACCTCTCTCCTCTGAAGTTTTAGCTGCATGCCCCGCAGCACCAGCTCCTGGATGAACAAAGGCAGGAATGCAGACCTAGGTTGGGGAAACACACACAGGCAAGAGGGAGACTCCCGCGGGCACCCCCTATTCCCACCCCTCCTGTTGACCTCCTTTTCAGGGACCTGAGGAGGACTGGGCATTCCGGGCCTGGAATCTTTGTACATTTGTGACAATCAATAGCAGCCAAGGCTTTTCCTGGAGGCATGACCTTCAAGGAACAAAGAAATCCCCCGTTTGAGGATGGGATGTGGAGCTTATCACAGGCCAGCCTGGCCCAGCCTGGGAGGCCCCGGGCCAACGTCCAAGGCCGGAGCAGCCCGCGGGCCTGACTGAGGCCTGCTCTGGAGGAGGGAATGAGGTAGGGAGGCGGGAGGTCAGGATGGAGGACTGGAGACAGACAGAAAACTTCCACAAAGGCGTCTGAGGAGGTCTAGGCTCTTCCTGGAGCCGCCTCTGCACAGATGGGGAGACAGAGCCTGGCGGCTTTAATCCCTCAAGGAGTCGAGGGCCCACCGGAGGGCTGGCCGCCCCCTCTGCCAGCTGGTGAAAGGCTTTCCTGTCCCCTGGCTGGACCGGGTGCCGGCACCAGGCCCAGCCATTGTGCCCAGCTTCCTGGCCCGCAAAGAGTGGGTTGGAACCAGAGCCCCAGGCCTCAGCGGCTGGAGCTGGGGCCTGGGATGTTCAGAGCCCAGGGCTGACCCATCCCCTCTGTCTGTTCCCCACCAGGCCAGCCTCCCCGATTCCAGGCCTCCTTCACCACCAAATGCGTGGCCTTGGGCAGCCCCAGGACTTCTCAAGCGTCAGCCCGAAGGGAATACTCACGTCTGCCCTGCCCTGCCCTCTTGGTAGGAGGCTCTGACCAGCGGGCAGAGGGGACAGGGCTTATGAATGGGGTGTCGGGGTGGGGGCGGGGAGAGCCCCAACATTCAGAGGGAAGCGTTAGGGCAGCCCCCTCCGGCCTCTGACCTCCGACTGTTCTGCTCTCCCGAGTGGCCACAACATGCCCAACCCTCCACAAAGGCCACTGCACTGCGCCCTCACCCTCCCGAATTACCAGCTCCGAAGCGGGAGGCTTCTGTCCGCCTCTGTCTCTTGATCCTCCCCAGCTCTGGCTGTCGTCCTGATGTCACGGCTCACCCCAAGGTACCACCTTCTTCCTACGTGTCAGTGGTTGGGGCAAAGCGCATGATTCCCCAGACTGAAGGAGGTAGTATTAGTTTACGCCCCGCGTCGCAGTGTCCCAGGTCCCCTGGTGAAAATGCTCTGCTCTACGAGGGGGAGACTCACATCAGCCGTGGGACGCAGGAGGTTGTGGGGGCTCCTGGGCGGGTGGGTGGGCGGTGTGGTCAGCGGCTCAAGCCTGTCTGCGCCGTTTCTGTCGCTTACAGCTGACTGACACAGGAAGACTGCAGGCTGGAAGCCAGCAGAGGCAGGGAGAGGAAGAGGACAGAGGTTGATCCTGTCACCCTCCCAGAATCAGAGTGTCAGGTCTCTAAGGGCCCTTAGAGATCAGGGTCAAGAGCTCTGCTTCAGATGGGGAACTGAGGCCCCCAAGAGGGGCAGATAACAAGTGCCTGGGGTCACTTTTTATTAAAAGGCTAGGACTTAAACCTGAACATCCAGGCTCCACTCACTGCCCTGGTTTGGGCGCAGGCTGGAGCCCAGAGGCAGAGGGCCGGAGGGGGGCGGGGGTAGCTTTGTAAGAAGAGGATGGAGACAGAGCAAGAGCACGTCGCTGTAGGCTCCGTGTGAGCTCAGCCCCGCCGGGGCTCCTCCTGCCCACGCACACGAAGACCATCGAACATTCAGGAAGGGCAACCTGAAGCTATAAAGCACCAAACACATGCCAGTGCTTTCCAGGAGTCTCTGCAAGGTGTGTGGGTTTTGCCTAAGGTCACTCAGCTAGCAAGGAAGGCAGGATCGAAGCCTGGCACGGACACGAGGGGCCCTGGGCGTCCTCCGGCTCACAAGTGGACACCTGCAGGAAGGGACCACACGGCTCCTCGAGGGAGGACCTCCCAGGGGCACACACAGAGGAAGTAAGGGGTGTGGGGTCTGGGTCACCTCTGGGGTCCTCCTTAGCCTTTCCACGAGCTGTCTGCCCCCAGTTTTGAGCCCCCCTGTGGCATGGGCAGCTCCTTGTCCTCTTGACTTTCTACTCTCCCCACCCCCACCTCCGGGGCAAGGTGCTGACCACCCTCCCCTAGCCTGGGGAGGCTGTTTCTCCCTCTCTCCCCACCTCCACCCCTGCCTTTGAGAAAATGGAAGGAGCCTGAGTCACAGCTGGCCCACTGGGGGCCTGGGGCAGGGAACAGAAAGGTGGGTTGGAAGGCCAAGGAGGGAGGCAGCTGGCTGGACACGCAGATGGATGGCCACAGGATGCGGTGAGTACAAGTGGGCTGAGAGCAGGCAGCCCTCTGCGGCAGGGCACCTGGCTGGGGCCACTGCTGCTTCGGGCAAGCCCTGGTTTCCCACGGGGGCAGAGCAAGCACTCATGCTTACCAGGCCGGGCTCCCAGGGCTTCTTACCATCCACAAGCTGCGTGTCCCTCCCAGCCCAGCTCCCTCCGCCGGGGCTGCAGTTAGACCTCCAGCAGGTCAGGAGCCCGCAAGCCTATCCCTTAGGGCCCCGAGGACTGTCAGCACCTTCACAGCTTTCCCCCCAAGCCCAGGGCCTCCATATGGGACGTCATGAATCCTCACAGCAACTAAGCAAGGCAAGGGAGGCAACTGAGTCCCAAAGAGGTTGAGTGACTTGCCCAAAGTCACATGACCAGAACATTCAAAACTCAGGATTCGAACCCAGCCTCATGTCCCAATCCCAAGCCTGCCACCCGAGCCTGCACCCCTCTGTCTCTCTCTCCATGCCCCATCATCCCCCAGGGGAAGAATGACCAGAACAAGCAGAGCTTTGGTCTGTGATGGTCAATGTCTTTACTTCTAAAGCATACATTGGACTCACTATATATTAACATCAAAAGGGGCTATCTAAAATGGAGTCATTCTTTTTAAAAATCCAAATTTTCACATTTTTATATAAGATCCAAAATGATGTGAAATTAAACTATACAATGTTATGAACAGTATAACAACTGCTTTTAGAAAGCAAAAGGAAAGGGAAAATTTTGCAGTTGGGCCTGTTGTCAGCCTGGGTTCCATGTCTTTTGAGGCATTGTGACTGAGAGCCAGCACCGAGGGGAAGGACCGGCCCCTCTCTGCAGGCACAGGAAGGGAGCCTGGTCCCATAGAGGAGGCGGATGTGGGCTGTTCAGCCTTCTCAAGGTGGGAGCGAGACAAGGCGGGCCTCCCTGCTCCTCTGGGCCCTTGGTGCAAGCACTGATTAAAGTCTTTCCAGACCCACGCCCAAGGAGGGCTGGAAGAGGGCAGGGCAGGGACACAGCTGGGTTCACAAGAATCATTTTGATAATAAAGGTCCTTCGGGCTTCCCCAGGAGGGCCCCCACTGGCCAGTGATCTCAGTCAACTCCATGCACCTACCAGCTCCCTTAACAACCCTCTGCCCTGGCCTGCTCCCTATTGCCCTGGACACCCTTGACTCCATGAGCCCCGGTGGGCAGGCAGAGACCTACAGGGACCCCGGGAGGACCCCAGAATCTCTGGCCTTGGAAGTCACTGGATAATGTCCAGGGCATCTTGGCAGCACAAGACCCCCGGGGTCCAGGCCAGGAGCCAGACTGACGGGGAAGGTTCCCAGGGGCTGGGAGAGCACTGTGGAGTCAGAGTCCTTTCACACCCCCACCCCCACCCTGGGTGCCAGGCCCGGTCTTGGCCCTGAAGGAGAGCTGGCGCAAGCTGTTTGGAGCCTCGCTCTTGACACTTTGGTTCACACATTCAAGGGGGAGGACACTTGTTTGCATCCACTGGTAAGACCGTGGACTTGGCCCTGCTTCCTCCCAGGCACCAAGGTGGTCTAACAATCCCCTTCTTTCTCATCAGTAGTTCGGTCTGGCCGAGAACACATTCCCCAGAGCTTGGAACCATGCTGCAAAGGTAGGAGGGGCACTTTCTGAACAGCAGGATTAGGCCTCAGAACAAAAGCCGCCTTTCCTCCCTTCCCTGTGGAGGGCACTGTCCCTGGCTGAGTGTGTCACGGGAGAGCTTCTCTGCCTCCTCCCTTCTAGCTGGGCCGATTCTCTGCAGGCACACCCAGCTCACAGATGTGCAGCCGTCCTGCATGTCTCCCTGGGGGAACCCGGGAGGCCACACCGCCCCCACCTGGAGCAGACAGAGAGGCCTGCGGCTCAGGCTCACCGTCTGCCCTCCTGGTCCCCAGGACTACATCACAAAGCTGGCCTGCTCTCTCCAACGGCGACCTGAAGGAAGATGCCCTACATCCAGCCCACCTGTGGGATCCAGCCCTTCTCCCAGGCCTGACCATGACCATCCTCTTTCCTAACCTATCTGGTTTCTAATTAGGCTGAAAAGTTTGGGAAGGTAGGGCTGGCAACAATCCCTCCTCGGGGTCGAGGGAGGCCACTTGACTTCCAGCCTGGTTCCAGGCCCCCAGAGACAAGGGAGGCTGATGGCTCTCAAGTAAAGGAATCCTGTAATGGGAAAGAGGTTTGTGGGATCAGGGCCAGCCACAGCGATCCGGCTCCCCCCACCCCCTCCCTCCAGGCCGGTATGGGGAGCGCCAGGCGCCCCCAGCCCCACCCCGCGGCCAACCCGGCGCCCTCGGTCCTCAGACCACCCAGCCGGGCGGGGGAGGGCCCGGTGGGGACGGCTCGGAGGCGCGCACTCAGGGCCGCACTGAGGGCCGCACTCAGGGCAGGCAGGCGGCCACCTGGTAGGCGCCCTCGGTGGCGGCCGCGGCGGCGCTGTGCTGGGCGCTGTGCTCCTGCAGCAGGGCCACGTCCAGGAAGCGCTCGCCGCACCACACGCACTTGAACTGCTGCTCGCGGGCGTGCACGCCCTGGTGCTTGTTGAGATGCTCGCGCTGCTTGAAGGCCTTGTCACAGCTGGGGCACTTGTAGGGCTTCTCGCCCGTGTGCACGCGCCGGTGCCGCTGCAGGTCTGACGCGTACTTGAAGCGCTTCTCGCAGTCCGGGCACTTGAGCGGCTTCTCGCGCGCCGGGTCGCAGCGGTGCTGCACGAACTCCGAGGACGAGAAGAAGCGGCGCTCACACAGGGTGCAGCGCAGGGGCTTCTCGGCGGCCGAGCAGTGCGCCAGCTGGTGCTTCTGCAGGGCCGACGCCCGCTTGTAGGCCTTGGTGCACACGGGGCACTTGAAGGGCCGCTCGGCCGCGCCCGGCAGGCACTTGTGCCGCAGCAGCTCGGCCGACTGGTCGAAGCCCTTCTGGCACACGGGGCACTTGAAGAGGGTCTCGAGGGTGTGCACGTGCTGGTGGTAGAGCAGGTGGCTGGGCTGCCCGAAGCCCTTCTCGCAGAGGCCGCACTTGAAGGGCTCCTCGGGCTTGTGCGTGCGCCGGTGCCGCATGAGCGCGTACTGCTGCTTGAAGCCCATGGGGCACAGGTCGCACTTGAAGGGCCGCTCGGCGCTGTGCGTGCGCTCGTGCTGCCGCAGGTCCGACGGGCGCTTGAAGGCCTTCTGGCACTCGCCGCAGCGGAACGGCCGCTCCCCGCTCGGCGTGCACGGGTGCTGCAGCAGCTCCGAGGACTCCTTGAAGTGCAGCTCGCACACGTTGCAGCGGAACAGGTGGTGCTCGCCCGAGTGCGCGTACATGTGGCGCACCAGGTGCGAGCGGTGCTTGAAGGTCTTCTCGCAGACCGCGCACTTGTACGGCCGCTCGGAGCTGTGCGTGCGCTTGTGGTGCACCAGGTGCGAGGACTGGCTGAAGCTCTTGTCACACAGCGTGCACTTGTACGGCTTCTCCCCGGTGTGGATGCGCTCGTGCCGCGACAGCTCCGACAGGTGCTTGAAGGGCTTCTGGCAGATGGGGCAGCTGTACGGCTTGTCTGCC